CAAACATTCCACATGCATATTGTAAGATGTTTATTTTGCATCAAAAAGACTGTTTTTATGTTACTGTTATTACTATTAGAAATCAGATTTTTGCCAGTCTTCGGAATGGTCAAAACTGGCCCAGTTAAGGAAATTCATACAATACACAAGATTGTTATGGCTTTTCAGGGTTTCATGATATTTCAAGGGGAAAAGAGAAACTACGTACCTGGAAATAAGGCAAAGTCTCACAGCTCTTGAACAATGGGTAGACTTGCTCTTGCAAATGTAAAGTAAGTAGTTAATATTCCCCAACATCCCAAGCTCTATGCATTTATGTACATACAAAAATTAAAGAGCATCTCAGAGGAGAAATGAGAGGGTGAGTTCCATATGAGGATCTCCTAGCAATACCAAGAGTGTGAAGGAATTCAGCCATTTGATATGTTGATAGATAGAAGTTGATAGGTAGGACTTATTTAGTAGTTTTTCCTTGGTTGATCTTATGCTTTCCCCAGGCTACTGCCCAGCTAAAAGGAAGGCAAAGACTGTAGCCCTTAAGTTCTGCCCCATCAGAATGTCTCAGGGCAGTAGCAGTTTCATGCGCAGCAGTTTCACGCGGTGGAATGAGTCCCAGCTGCTCTACAACCATCACTGCGTTACTGAAGAATTTCTGTTCCTTTCTGATTAACAGTTCTATACATGCTATTCCACACCTTGTAACTTTGAATTAATAAACCAAACCAGGGCTAGAAAAAGCATCTCTCTCTTTGTCTCTCTTTTTTAGAGATAGTTTCAGTATTTCTGCCCAATATTTGTAGTATGTACTGGAGAATTTGCATCAGCCAGGAAAAAATACTGTCCCGTGATGCAAAGCAAGTCTTTTTTATAACTTGATTGTCCTTAACAGTTAAATTAGATAGTTCCCCATATGATAGTAAATCAGTCCCCAAGTTATTTTCCAAAGTAATAGCTTTGAATTTAATAGTGGTCAAAGGTAATATGTTTATGGAAATAATGGTTATATGCAAAGAATTATGATCCATCTCCCCTCTTTGTACTGGGGATTGTGAACTTTAGTCAAGTGGGTTGGATCCCTTTGCTGCTTTTCCGTCTTTTCTGATATCAATTTGGCTAGGGAGAAAGATGCCAGCAATGGCCTGCATTCTGCTGCTTAGCACTATTTTCTGGATTTTAGATAAACTGATTTAGAAGCTCTTTCATTTCCACCCATATCCCAGAAGATCGAGATTATTCTTGGCTAACCAGAAACTTGATAATTTCTGATTTGGAGTAGAAAGGGAGAACATACTATAGACTTTACAAAATGTATCACTAGCACTTGTTTTCAAAATTATATTTGCCACATTAACAGGAAAATAAGTACTTACAGAAGAGGTTTAACCAGAAAGATGTTTATCTCATGTACCCATAGCTCTTTCCAGTAATTGAACTCCCCCCCCCCCCCCCCCCCAC